CCCGTTTCAATTAAAAGTTCCCCCCAGCTCGGCGGGCCCCCAAACTGCCTGGGCCCATATGCACCTGCATACCCTGCATAGACGCTACACAGCTGGTCTTATTTGTTCTGTTCATAAAAGTTTTATTTTTAATATAAGCGACTTTGTCATTGTAGCATTGCTGATGTTGTGTGTGTGTGTTTCATTAAGAGTAATATTGAATCAACCTTAAGCATTAATTTTGTTTCAAGAATAGGAAAGACCTAAAGATCAACTGCCTGGGCCCATATGCACCTGCATACCCTGCATAGACGCTACACAGCTGGTCTTATTTGTTCTGTTCATAAAAGTTTTATTTTTAATATAAGCGACTTTGTCATTGTAGCATTGCTGATGTTGTGTGTGTGTGTTTCATTAAGAGTAATATTGAATCAACCTTAAGCATTAATTTTGTTTCAAGAATAGGAAAGACCTAAAGATCAAAATAAGCGCTACAGATGTGAGAATGTGAGATTTGTTGCTGCTGAGGTAGACGTTCTCGCTCTTTCTCTGCTGTCTGTAGAAATTTTTTTTGGGTACGGCAGAGACATGTTACAGGTTATAATATAATCAAAAAATCATGGCAACAAATAATTTTTAAGTCAGTTTAATAAGTTTAATCAGTTTAAACGACTTACACAGTCAATTTGATTCAACTTATGTCATATTTAACCGTTGCTTGTCATTGTAGGCTTAGGCTACTTTTTTTTCAATAAATTTTTATGAATATACAAATTAATAAAATGAATATGATTTATTTTTATTACATATTGTTCATTCATTTATTTTCAACACCGCTGCAGCACCCCCTGGAGTGTAGCCCACAAAAAAGTGGGGGTGCTGCTGCACCCTCAGCACCCCTACGCGGTAATGGGACCCATTAAACACCAAGTGAAAACTTGGAATGGTTGGGGGTGGAATTCAATTGCTGAGTCCTCTTGGTCAGAGTCTAGTGTTTTTGGTTGGGGCGTCAGAGTTGGTATGAATCCAGTTGACTTCAAAGAGTGACTCACATGTTTGCATCTTCTACAATTTACAAAAGACTGATACAAGTGAGTTACGTTTAGATTGCAAAACCTTGGGACAGTAATGTGGTTTTGTGTAGGGCTGCACGATGAATCGCATGCGATACTTAATGCGCATCTTGTCAGTAAATCCAGTTCTGTAATCAGCGGTAAATCTCCATCACGTGCGTGCTTTCAAATTGAGCAGCATTTACTACACAGAGCCATTATTCACTGACAAGCTGCGCAAAACCATGTTCATATATGATCGTGGTTTTGCACAGCTTGTAGGTGAACAACGGCTCTGTGTAGTAAATACTGCTCCATGTGAAAGCACTCACGTGATGGAGATTTCCCGCTGATTACAGAACTGGCTTTACTGACAAGATGCGCATTAAATATCGCATGCGATTTATCATGCAGCCCTAGTTTTGTTGCATTGCAAAGGTCAGAGCTAACAAAGTCTGGAAAATGTATTTCCGATTTTAGACCTGTACCAAACCATCACGAGCCCAACTGCAGAGATCATGAGAGAGACAGGGATGCCCATCCTCTCTTGGGAGCACCACCCCCTCTCATCTCCCCAAAACATCAGCACAAAGACCATGCACCCCCACCACCAACCACGCTCTGGAACCCCGCATCGCTCATCGAGACCTCCACCGACTCTAGACGCACCTTGCACGAGCCCCAGAGTCTGGGTCACTATGATATCAGCCGGCTTCCTATACCCCCCTCCAAATATGAGCGTCATTACACTTCTGAAATGCTGGAAGAGGGATCTCGGAAAAGGGACAGTCTGGATAAATATCCCCCCATCCAGCCCAGTGGGTTCTCTGAGTCAAACACTTTCCTAGCGGAGCTTGAAAAATCCACCCAGAGCTTCCTGAACCAGCAGAGGGCACCGCTGAGTCGGTCAGGGCCTTACGGAGAGCTGAGTACAGGCCAGAAGTCCAGCGGGTCTTTTAAAAGCCTCAAGGGGCATTCACGTCTCGCACCAGATGCCACGTTAGTGTATGATGAGCTCCTGCAACAGCACAGACGAGCTGTCAGCAAACTGGACTTGGAGGAGAAAAGACGCAGAGAAGCCAGAGAGAAAGGTAAGTAGTTAACCGGGCCAGCCAAATGCTGAAAATGTTCACGCAGCCCAGAAAAAAAATGATACCAACGACTATTGTTTTTTTTTAAACTGGTGCTGATATCTAAAGAGCAGGAGAGCCAACTGCAGATATTAGCTGATGAATGATACATTTTAGTGTCAGTAAATTAGATTATATACAGTAAGGGTTAATATAGAAGTAAAAAATTGGAATATAGAAGTTGGATTGCGAACACTTCTTTTAATTGCATGATTAACCAATGAATAAAATCCTAAAATGGTCATATATCTGCAGAGTAATGCCAAAGTATGCTTCGGTTTTTACATGTATGACAAAAAATGTGTAAAGTGTGTGTGACGTAAATGGCGTTGTCCACTCATACTGTATGCACAAATGCTCACAAATGCATCGGTTTTTTTGCAATAATTAGTTTCCTCAAACTGGAAACACTGGCCTGGGCCATTGTGTTACAGTTAATAAAGAAACAGAGGAGATTGAACATCAAAAAGAAAAGTTTCTTGTGCGACTGCCTGGATTTGTGCACATTATCAATTGGAGTATACTTTCAAAAGCTGAGTGTTTGACACTACAACTGAAGTATACTCTGGGATTTATTCATACCATTTTTATCCAGTGGGTCAAGCTTACATAATTTGAAGGTCATTTCTAAGAGTCGCTGAGTGATTAGTGATATCTTTTGTAGGTTATTATTATGAGGTGGACGACTCCTATGATGAGAGTGATGAGGAAGAGGTGCGAGCTCATCTCAGGAGGGTCGCAGAACAGCCGCCACTCAAACTAGACGATTCCACTGAGGTAAATCACCATAGTATCATGCATTACTACCAAAGTTATCAAAGGTTTGTTATTGCAAATATTGTTTCTTTGTGTAGTTTTTTTGGATCTTTGATGATTCCATCATGACTCTAATGACCTTGCCCCAGTAAAGCAGTATTTATTGAGAAAAAACCCTCTCTTCCTACAGAAGGTGGAGTTTCTGCAGATGTTTGACCTGACGACTCTGGCCCGTCGGGAAGAGATGATGGAGGTGAAGAGGATGAAGAGGAGGCGCATGCTGAGAGAGAGGAGTCCTTCCCTGCCAGCCGTTCAGAGCAAGCGGCCTACTCCTTCCCCCCTAATAACCCGCTTCACCCCAGAGGACATGAACAACAGCCCTGAACTGGAGGACAAGAAACGCTTCCTCACCATCTTCAGCCTCAACCACATCACTCAGCAGCAGAGAAGAGGTACTCATGCTGTTTATCGTGTTCATACTTAGGCTCTGTGTTTTTTAGCTGGACATTTTCACACTAGAGCTTACTTCAGAGTCATATAATACAATTAGATGCAGGACTGGCAGGGGGTGGTAGAAGCCTTGATGTGGACCAAGTGTAAAGGCAGCAAACAAACAAGGATATACTTTCACAAGCTGTAGCGTAAATATCTATCTGTCTCTCACTTACTAATTTTTTCTTCCTGTTTCAGATAATGAGAGGGTTGAGGAGTTGTTGAAGGCCATAAAACAGAAGAGCATGACTCTAGACAGCATCAGACACAACCCTCACCCGCTGTGCAGGAGCCCTGCAACCCTATGCGCAGGTGTGTGTGTGTGCACGTGCGTTTGTCCATGCAGTGACTCGTGTTGTGTGAGTACACACTGTGGAATAGGGATGTGCCCGAATACCATGTTCGGAAAGGAAATGACGTGTACTACGGAACCCCTAAAGGGAATAAATACGAGATGGGAGGAAAAAAATATATTTAAATGCTTTCTCTCGCAAGTATATCATTGGGTAATTATACTGTATATAAATTGCGGGCATCAGGAAGTCGCTATTAAAATGCGGGGCATTGAAATTGCTTTTGAATGCACGCTCGCTTTTTACTTCCACTTTCGAGATTCGCGATCACACATACTCTGTTTATACTACAGAGCACCAGTACTTACCACACATTTCACAAGATTAAATTTTTGTCAGTGGTGCTCAGGATCTGCAAATCATTCGCCATTGTCCTATCAGTCATCGCTCCTTAGGGGCCGTTCACATATCGCGCCTAAAAACGCGTGGAAAACGCTAGACGTGCCGTTTTCTGCTTTCCCCCCAAAGCGTTCGGGCGCCGTTGCTAAGCAACCATGACTTGCACTGTCCATGAAGACGCGGAAGTTTCAGCAAAGTGTAAATGGATTTGCAGCACTAAAAATCGCTTGCAGTAGCTCTACTACTAAATTTATTTAAAAATGGCTATCCCTGTACAGCTATGATCAGCTGTTCCTTCATCTTGGCTGAGCTTTCAATGTTGTTACGGGAAAGGATGAAGCTGATTGGTTGGTTCTTGTCACATGACCCGCGGTGCGCTTGCGGCATTCTGAAAAGTTGAAATGTGTTTATCTCGATGCATCGCTTCCATTATGAGCGCGTCTACATTTGAAATAACGAACTTGAGCGCGCAAAAGACGCGATATGTGAACGGCCCCTTACTCTGTTTATGTGGTAATTGAAATTTTATGTACTGTAATGTAACAGGCTATCGCTAGCAAGCGGCTAACCATGTCCCTTTAGTGGCTCCATAGAACACGTTGTTCGTTTTCTGTGCCTTTCCGAATTTGGATTCACTGTTTGGGCACATCCCTACTGTGGAGTGTTGTCAGTGTGTGAAAGCAGCTGACTACAGAAGTTCTAAGCGGCCATGCATTATTTTTTTTTCCCTTCTTGTTTTCTCGTTATAACGACTTATTTTCTCGTTATATCGACATAACGAGAGTTGTTTTCTCGTTATAACGACTTATTTTCTCGTTATATCGACATAACGAGAGTTGTTTTCTCGTTATAACGACTTAATTTTCTCGTTATATCGACATAACGAGAGTTGTTTTCTCGTTATAACGACTTAATTTTCTCGTTATATCGTTATAACGAGAAAACAACTCTCGTTATGTCGATATAACGAGAAAATTAAGTCGTTATAACGAGAAAACAACTCTCGTTATGTCGATATAACGAGAAAATAAGTCGTTATAATGAGAAAACAAGAAGGAAAAAAATAATAATGCATGGCCGCTTAGAACTTCCGTAGCTGACAGCTCCAGATGTTCATCATTGTCTGTTTTTTCAGCTCATTACCATAACATGTACTGAGTGTTTCACTGTGTGGATGACCCTCAGGAGATGCACAGCATCTGTGTTACACTGTCAGGGATGTACGAAACACTCCTCATGATAACTTCAGAGTCCCTTCAGTCCACATTGGTCGAGAGTCTATTTGATGTTTTGCTATGTTCATGAATATACCAACCTGCAAACATTTATTTACTTATTTATTTATTTTGCAGACCTGTCATCTCAGTCTCCAGTCCATTCGGATGAGCTGCTGAATGGACGGCCCCCCAGTCCCTCCCCCTCTGTGTCTGTGCCCCAGCCCCCAGCAGAACCCCTCTCCCACTCAGATCATCACAGATCCCTCTCAGATCCCTTGAGACTGAAAGACTCTTCCTTGCCTGCTGCATTACCTGACAAATGTCGAGCCAATGACCGCATCCCTGGCAGGAGCTCTAATCTGCTAAACAGTCTGCGACAGCCCCCGTTCAGTAAAGAGAGTTCCGTTAGTGTCAACGGAAAGACCAAACCCTGGGAGAATTTCATTGCTGAGGAGTTTGCCCAGCAGTTCCATGAATCAGTACTGCAGTCCACCCAAAAAGCCCTGCAGAAGAGTAAAGGTAATTAGCAGTTCAAAGTCTCTTTAAGATTCTGTTATTTCATTGCTTATAAACTTAACTTAAAGTCGCCATGAAATGAAAGTTGTAATAGGCTTTTCTTCCCTTTTGTGACGTATATATCTGTGTGAAATGACTCCTTGAAAAAGTAAAAATGTAGGGTGGGACATTTTGTCCATTGAGAATTGATTGGATTGTTCTCGTTTGCTATTGCTGCGATCTCATGTGAGTGACTAGTTGTTCTGCCATTGCTCCAGTGTATACATCATCAGAGAAAGAGAAGAGATGTTGTTGCAAGAGGGACGTTATTCTGATTAAAGATTATGGGAGCACATGAATTTGTAAAAATGAATGATGTGCATAGATTCATTATTTATAATAAATAAGACAATATTCCATAATAAAATAAGAACTGTCCATTTTTATTTCATGGTGACTTTACAGTCAGAGCAATGTAACAGTTGTGCTTTTGCTGGATTCGAACAAATCAATCTTCAGCTACATATGTCACAAAATGTGTTATGTGTGCATGTAAACACACACAGGAGCTATCAGATTTAACAGACTTCATAAAAAAATAAAAATAAACCAGATTTAAAAGTCTGAACATGCTTAATTTGACTGCATCTAAATGGACGCAAACAGCCAGTGCTCTGCAACATACATGTCACATGTGTCTGACATACCACAACAAATTGTCTTACTCAGTATATTTATATTTTAAGATATAAATATGAAGATATATTTACTTGAGCAGACTTTTAAAATTTACCATTGGCCATTTATTTAACCGCTGCTTTAGAAAAATGTATCAAAGATGAATGAAATTAATGCTTTAATAAGGCAAAAACACCTTCCGGTTTTGAAAATTACAAGAGAATAATAAAAATAATAATAATAATAGAGAATAATCTCTTTTCTGGACTGGCATTTTTCAGTACAGATTAAAATGCAAAAAATATGTTAGTGTAAGCAAGTGTTTGGGGAAAAAATGTTTGTTTTTTACTATCTATTGTTGTTTATGAAACACCAAAGCAAATACAAAAATCTGATTGGCTATTTGAATACATGTAAATACTGTGGCTTCCTTTCTACAAACAGGTTTCAGAAACATCTTTTGTTGCACTTGCATAGGGCTGCTTTGTGTACAAGTGTGACCATGATAACATCTGTATTTCTGCTGTTTCATAAGCGCCACCTACTGTCAGAGAGTGAATTTGCATTTTTATTGTGCCTGTCTGCTGCTTTTGTTCAGATCAATGTGAAAATCAGACTAAATTTGTACACAAGAAACACACAGTGTTGTTAAATGGAAGCTAATGTGAGCATTTGAAATGCCCAGATAACAAGTTGATAAGATGAAAACAGTGCGTCAAGTCGGACACTTTCTGCTTCCCATAATGATATTCGCACAGTGTTTGCATACTTTATCACTGATGAAGTGGAGTAGAAGCAGTATTTTTCAAATACACAGACACTTCAAATGTTTTTATGAAGCAGCACAGTGTATGAAGCGTCCAACATTCCACTCTTCGTTTTTTTGGTTAATTGAGAGTATCATCCGGGCATTTGAAGTGCACTTTTTATTTTATGGAATTTTGAGTGTAAACACTCTAATCACACTATTTATATATATATATATATATATACTGTATATAATAATAAACTAAAATACCATGTATCATTGCATCATGCTGTTTATTTTTGAACAGGTGAAAAGAAGCCTCACACCAAACTAAATTTCCTTTCTGCTATTCTGTCCAGCTCTTCCATTATAATACGGAAGTATACGTGTGTGACTGTGCGTGTCTGTAAACGTGCTTCTTACAATCATGTGACAGGCCAGCTAAATATTTAAGGGTGTTTTGGCACAAACAGTAAAAAAAGTCCTTAAAACATTTGAAAGTGATGCAAAAACCCACATTATGTAATATAATTTTAATATAGATATTATTTACAGGTATCTGTACCAAATAAGTAGCTTGTGAGCACATTCTTATTTGCTTCTCATCTGTCAGAAATGCTAGACACAAGACTGAAAAACTTTTCCTGAATGAATAAAATTGAAATGGCCTATGCATCACACAATGAAAATAGCTTTGTTTCAACTTCTTATGTAGGCAACATTTAAAGGGATCATAGATGCAGAGACCGTTGCATAAGGTAGGGAAGGTAGTTCCATTTAAGCCAGGATTCTGTCTTATGTAGTTAGTAGGCAGCAAGTCGCAGCATTCTTGCGGCTCGAGCAGTCAGTGTTTCTCAACCCTGTTCCTGGAGATACACCAACAGTACACATTATGGATGTCTCCCTTATCAGACCCATCTATTTCAGGACTCTCAGACTCTCTTAGACTCTTCCATGTCTTGGACTCTTTACTAATAAGTTGATGAGTTGAATCAGGTGTGTTTGAGCAAGAAGGGTTTGAAAATGTGTTCTGTTGTTGTGTCTCCAGGAACAAGGTTGGGAAACACTGTGGTAGATAATGGTTCGATTCCCAGAGAACATTTTGCATAAATTATAATAGGTTTGCTGAACAGAGCATTAGGTTTCATTTTAACATCTTATCATGCTCACTGTAAACAGACCTATTTTCAGAGCAGCTAATAGAGCTAACACGTCTCTTCCTCTATCAGGTGGTGCCTTGGTCATGTCAGAACAGAACCATGCAGTGGATTCATCCGTGCATTATAACATTCCTGAGCTCCAGAGCACACCGGGCCGGTCCAAACCCCACCCACACCCTCCTTCTTTGCAGCCCAACGGACAGCACTGCCCCCCACACCCTTCACGCCAGGAGCTCTCCACAGAGGAGTCTGAGGAAGAGGATAAGGAAGATGACACAGAGGAGGACGAGCCCACTACATCTAGGTGGCAGGGCATTGAAGCCATCTTTGAAGCTTATCAAGAGTATGCAGAAGGTAAGATGTGTGTTCAGGGGTTTGAGTCCCTATCAGTACTGATGCTTGATGGATATCATAGTTCTGGCCAACAGAAGAGCAGCAAATTCTTAAGTTGTGGTGTGTTGGTGTATGTGATGCCAAGGGGATTCTTGAGTGTAAGAGAAGGACCCGAGGAGTCTTACCGCTCCCTGTCTCTTTCTCTCTGTTTGACTCTAGAGCAAAGCATTGAGCGACAAGTTCTCCACAGTCAGTGCAGACGGCTGGAGGTGCATCACTATAATCTCAGTCTAACCGCTGAACAGCTGTCACACTCAATAGGGGTAAGAAACACACACAAATGCTAACATCTCTTAGAACCAATTTATACCTGATATTAAGGTGCATTTCCAATGGTCTGCCAAGACACATTACCGTTTCCATTTCAAATGTGTCTCCTATAACCACTTTTGATCACATTTTGTAGAGATTCTGTCCTTTTATTTCATCACACTCTACATCACGTTCATGAGAATGCCAAGTGCGGTGCACAAATACTGTTGAATGAACATACCCATGTAATGCAGTGTTAGATCATGACTCCACACCAGAAATATTAGATCCAGCCCTGAATGCCAGATCCTGTCAGAAAATATCTGTTTTGTCAGGTATCTGTCTGATGATGTCTCATGGGTAATGTGTGTATTTTTTCTGAAGGAGCTGATGGCTCAGAAGCAGAAGCTTGCGGCCGAGAGGGAGAACCTACAGGCAGAGCTGGAGCACTTTAAGAAGTGCCTGACGCTGCCACAGAATCTGTGGTCTAGGGGTCACTTCAAGGGCTATCCACCCAGGTGACACTCTACGGCACCACCGTCCACCCACTCATACAACCCCCCACATCCCTTACAAACCCCCAAACCCAGACTCATGCTCAGTCCACTCCGAGAGCCTGGAGAGTGATGGTGAGGAACAGAAGATCTGGCCCACGAATTTGCCATCCACTGACCTCCCCTCCGATGCAATCCTGTGGGCAAAATCACACATGAACACAAACAAAGCCTCTGAATGCCTCCGATTTGCAGGGACAGCCATACTGCATCATAGAGAGAGAAGAACACCAGTCAAAATGCAGCTCAGCCCACCTGCCATCTCTTTAACATGGAGGTCCCGCCTAGAAATGCACTTAAAGACAACAAAAAAATAACCTGAAGAACTATCTGGAGGTACTGTGTTATGACAGACAGTAAAAAAAAAACATCTAATAAATAAAGGAAAATGTTTTATTTCAAGATTTAGAATAAAGTTTTTTAAAGATGTGCTTCAGCATTGTATTGTAAATAATTTCAAAACAACAACAACAAAAATAATTTTGTATGTTTTTAATTACTTAAATCATTGTTCTTTGGAAGAAAAAAGCCTGCCATTTTTTTTTCTAATATATTAATGCTTTTGGGCGTTAAGCAAAAGGCTTGCTTTTGGTGTTTGCCCTCCTGCTGGTCAGAATAACCCTTTCAGGACACATGGAGTGATGACATCACTTCCTTTTTGCCTGAACTACAGTAGCAATGGCCCCAGGACATACCGCCAACATTTTTCCTTCAAGGCCATGCATTACAGGATAACTTGAGTCCTGCATTCTGATGATATACCCACTGATATGTAGGACTCAGGACGTCTACTGTCTTTTATCATTGGCTAGTGGTCACCTGTCTCTCAAAGTTCCAGACTGCTAACACGGAGTGGTCTTTTTTGTCATGAAGCAGCATGCAGCCTATTTTTGGATTTCTCTTTCATTTAAGTAAAGGGAGTTTGTACTAGAATGTGATATTCGGAAATCTATATCTCACCTGTGTGCACAGAGAGCTCAAGCGATGACAGTCTGTCAGGAACTGACATGCACAAAAATTAAATCCATAAATGTTTTTACAATAAGAATTATAATTTGTTTGATATACAAAACATCTTTGCCATTGACAATTACTGTGCCAAAGTTTCAGAGGTGGCATGCCAAAATGTTGAAAGCAAAGCTTGATCAATTTGAAGAATTGAGTCAGTCCTGCTGAGAGTCAATTGGAAAATTGCAACAAAAAAAATCCAAAAAAAAAAAATCTGCTCTGCCCGAAGACGTTCTTGTTTGCCAAGATTTTATTTTTTTTATATCCATTGCTTATGAATGATGCATTTTAACATGATCATGAGTCATTGACAAAAGCATTAATATGGGCCTTAAATGAACTCTGACTGCCTGTAATATCTTTAATTTTCTACCTTTTTATATTATTCTTAGATGATGTAGAATCTGGGAATGACACACCTGTTTGTTTTCCTGCCACTTAACCCAACCTCCATCACTTGTGCTGCACATCACATGTATCTTGTGTATGCAGTACCACATACAGCATGCAGTTATATATATATATATATATATATATATATATATATATATATATCCATTGCTTGTGAATGGCGCATTTTAACATGACCATGAGTCATTGACAAAAACCATTAATATGGGCCTTAAATGAATTCTGACTGCCTGTAATATCTTTAATTTTTTACCTTTTTTATATTATTCTCTTAGACGATGTAGAATCTGGGAATGACACACCTGTTTGTTTTCCTGCCACTTGATCCAACCCCCATCACATGTGGCGTATGTATCTCATGTATACAGCACCGCATACAGCATGCAGTTATAGACAGACCACACGCCATTTTTTGATCAGAATTTAGTGCAAGGGTAAGACACAGAGGTGTCTCAAATGCATCTTTGAAGCACAGGTGAGGAGTTTGCTTGCACTGTCATTTATTTCGGCTATGCTGACCCCGAGCAGGCGTGCCATCAGTTTGATCACTTTGTGTGTGTGTATCTGCTTCACACAAAGCACTGCCACTGCCTGATGAGAGCATATACAAACCTGCCCAATGCACACACACAGTCACGCCCAAACTCAGTGGAGGATGTTAGATGCTGTGAAACCATGGGGTTTTTAATGTTTTTCTTTTTTTGTTTTCTTTTTTTATGTACTTGTTTGAATTCATTGTAATGTAATATATTCTTTGTTGAGTGTAATAATTAGGTATTTATGGATATATTGCTGTAATTTCAGACAAAAAAATTAAATATTGCAAAAAACGTGTTTGCTTTGTTTTATTTTTTTTTTAAATTTACAACAGTAATTCTCTTCCAAAATTCTAGGAACACTTCATACATAAAAAGGCATTGTCACTCATTACACAGACTTTTAAACAAATACCAGATCATTACAAGTTTTTTTTTTTTTTTTTTTTGTTCTGAAGAATCTTGGATTTTTATTTATTTTTTCAGAATTCCTTCACAAAACTCGAATGGAATTGTCACATACAAAAATTAATGTATGAAGAAGAAAAAAACATTTGAGGCATACAGAATTCATTATATCCAGAAGGGACACATCATCGTGGTGGTCACACTCTCCACTTTTTGGCTTCAAAATTGTGTGATGTACAGTAAAGTGAACAGCGAGTTTCCATTTTTCTCACTTGCTCTCAGCAGTAGATTTCTTTTCTTTTTTTTTTAGATCTTAAGTATTCTTCAGTAAAGTATGACTACAAATGAAACATTATTTAATCCCTTTTTTGTTTTTGTGCATACCTTTGCAGGTTGAAGCACAGTGCGCAAGATGTAGACGAGGTGTTACCTGAATAAAATGGTGAAAGCAAAAATTAGTCGACATCGTCTTGTGATCTGAACAATGCCACTCAACTGTGTGCAAGAGAGTTTGGACCACAGTAAAAGTAGTACAGGGCCTACCCATGGTCAGTTTGACTTCCAGGTCAAAATCAAATATTTTAGTCAAAAACATTTTGTCAGAATCGAACTTTGGCCTCAGATGACACAAACCTGACAAATACAGACTTATAACACTTCACTGCCTAAAGAACACTAGTGAGATCCATTCAAAACACTTACAAAAACCTCCTTGTGGGAATCAGGAATCATTTTGCAAATCAGTGTATATTACAGTATTCAACAAAGTGGTGCAGATACAGTGAAATTCAGCAATAAGCTTTAAGAAAAGTTTACTTTCATTGCATTACATTACTGTAAAGAGATCTTGCAGTAGATGAAAAGCAGTAGAAAAGTTCAAATGCCAAAGAACTGAACATGAACACACACTACATTATACTGTCAATTACTGTACCATTAAAATAAACTCAGTATCCTCTTCCAAATTGCATTGCAGTGTTGGTAATGCTCTTTTTTTCTGCAATACTGTAGCAGTTTCTTAAGTCTTCTGACAAAAGACTTTCTCTGCCTCCCCTAGACAATCGTCTCTCAGTTCTGTAAAAATACAGTACCTGCAAGAAGTACTTGGCTACAAATCAGTTCAAGTTACAAGTTTGAGGGTGTACAACCTGCTACAGTATTTACTGTACTTAGAATGGTGAAGGTTTTCTCATCTAAAGTACTTGTACTGTGCTGTAATTATACTGTATGTGCAAGTAGTATAAAAACCCTGTAGATGATCATGTAGGCCAACCACTCTCATGGCCATTCAATGCACAAGAAGTCACCTATAGTGCTTTGTATTTCATCAGAAAATAAAGACCTTTAACCCAGTCCCCTTCATGTATACTTCCTGTTTCCCACCACTAGGATTCATTTTCCAAAGCACACAATCACCCGTGCTCCTGTTTATATTATCATGAGATTCTGATTGGTGTCATCCGTTTTGCTACTTAATGTTAACACATGGATAAATGTGTGATATTTGAGGTCATATAAAAGCAAGCGTTTGAGGCAATTATATTGTGCGCTTGTGTTTTCTTAATGAGAACATGGTTAAAAGGGCATATGTGTGTAGAGTTTTGCAGAAAACACTGAGCAAATTGAAACGTGTGAAAACAGGTGTACACATTTACGTTAATACATTTATTTAGACAAAACAAATAAAAATGGTCAAAGTTTTTTTTTTTCCTTTCACTAGACTGGTCAGCTACAGTGTAGCATCGGTTACTATTTACATGCCAAGACACAGCAGTGGTCACGAGTTCAGATATGATTCCATGCAGTCATCAGTAATACATTTTCAAAAATCGGTTTCAGAACATAAAAGCAAACTTCAGCCTGTTTATGTTTTACTACATATTGCAACAAGGCTGAAAAATGTGGTAGAGAATTTCTCCATTATTTCAGAACATCTCAGTAGTCCTGACTTCTGCCCGGCTGCAGGTTTGAGCGCAGTTTATACATGTAGTTCAGAGAGTCCAGCAGAAATGAGCGTGTGGTGTTGATCTCCATTAGCGTGAGATTATCCAGCTAAAGAGATAAAGAGAATGAGAGTTTATCAAACAACTGACATCTTAATGTGACTAAATCAAACCAGTTAAAGAGAATGAATAAATTTGAGGGATTTACACCCTGCATTTAGGTTTTTTTAGGCCCGCTTTAAACCCTGGGTAAAATAACGTTTCACGCTAATTTAGAAAGGGGTTAGCACCAGTTAACCCTGAGACATGAAACTCCTTCTCTAGCATGGCTTTTGCGTGGTTAACGCCACACTGCTGTGTCAAATGTAGACAGTTTGCAGCAATGCAGTGTTAGAGCATAACAGCCAGTTGTTCAGCAACAACCACTTATAAACTGAACAATGTCCGCCTTTAAATATTCATGTGTATTACACAGTCACAGAAATGTGCTCTATTTAATTCCAGCATTTGAGAGAAAACAACACAAAATGTTAAAAGATGATGGACTCAACATTAACAGGCAGAATTTGGGAATATTTAATCATGTTCACATGTACACAGAGTAAATATTCTTGTTATACCATACAGAATTAAGGCTGATTTGCACTTCTGCGTCGGACTTACGCCGTAGGCTATGCGTCAGTTTTCATTTATACTTCTGCGTTGTTATCCAGTACACAAGCAAACCGCTAGTCTGCAGTGTCCACGGGCATGTTGCTGGTGTAACCCGCAGTACCACGGCAAAAGCCGAAGAAGCGGCTCGTCGGAGAAGCATTATAGCCTTGACGGCGGCAAATAAACATCAAATCATTATTTAAAACTACAAAAAGGAGACAACAACGGAACAGGAGAAGATGGCATTCTTTCAATCTCCACAAGGACTTGTACCACGGCAGATCAACATTGTTTATCGCGGACAACTACTGATGTATAATGCCATGTAGTATAATAAGACACTTGTTCTTTGTTTTGTTTTATTTTATATAAGAATGTGTAACAGTAAAATATATTAAAGTGCACAAACACACAAAACTCAAGTACATACGGAGGGAGGGGTTCTAGCAGACCAATCACAGCGCTTGCAGTCCGCGTAGAATTGACGCGCTGTTAGAATTTTGGAGAGATGCACGTCAGGCTACGGCGTATGGGTGTGCATCTATGTGTAGGCTACGGTGTAGGTTCGACGCAGAAGTATAAATTGGGCTTTAGAACTTTAGATCTACTAAACCTATGGTGGTCATTATGGTAAAAAAAAAAAACTGATAAATCTATAAATATTTATAGAGAAAAAAAAAAAATATATATATATATATATATATATATATATATATATATATATATATATATATATATATATTTCAGTTCTTAAGTTTAAAGGTCTTTTAGTGTGACAATGAAAAAAGACTGTTTAATTCCAAGGCACAGAAAAAGTGAAAACACCTTTCCCTTCACCTTTTCACCAAATCCAACATTTCAATAGATTTATAGAGGTAAAATAATGACAAATGTCTTTGGAAAAAGAAAGAAAATGCACTGCATCGCATTTTAATGCATTGTATTGTAAGGGGCTGAAATTCAACGTTGTATATTTAGGATGTGAATCATTTAAAACATTACACAATTTAATTATAAAAAAATTCAACAATCCATATTCACCTTCCAGACTTCACTTCAGACTTCAGCCCGTTTAAAAATATGAACTATAATATTCAACAGGCAATATTCAGTTCCTTATATTTCTTGTGTGTGAATATTTTTTGGGTGTGGTATATTTTTAATTGAATTATTCACAGCTTAAATATATGGTTCACTGTTAAATTTCATACCCTGAAAATGCAATAACTAGCAATGCATTTTTTAATTAGTGCAATTCAGCATACTTTTTTCTTTCAAAGACATTTGACATTATTTTTCCATGACTTTTTATGATTATAGGAAAAATACTTTTTCCCTCCATCAAAGAAGCTGCATTTATAAATAGCAATTTCTCATCACCAAAATGTTTTTGAATATGAAGAATAACTTTGAAATGGCCTAGAAATAAATTTTAAATTCTGATATTTTCAGATTTTTCATAGCCATGGAAACCCTGTTGCGTTCAGAGCGTGAGTCCATCAGACACCCATCAGATTTTATGTGGTTCTGATTAGAGCCCGACCGATATATCGTTTTGCCGATATTATCGGCCGATATGAGCCTGTCGCCGATATATTGGTATCGACGAATATGCCACCGATATGAATTTTTTTTTACAGAACATATAATGCAGATAAAATGCTTGTAATGGTGTAATTACTTAGTTTGTCCAGCAGAGCGCACTCCATTGTTTGCTACTGGCGACATGGATGAAACGCTTTAAAGCTTAAGTCTATGGAAAACCATTGAAACTTTGACCGGCCATATCTCCGTAACAGCGCGGTGAATCCGCCCCAAATTCGGGTGATCCCTTCAGCTCGAGACACCCTCTCGAACGCGAATCGAGTGTATGTCTAGAGACCATTTATTTAGTTTTTATTTATTTAGGTATATTATGTCACACTTCTCTAAGTTTCGTCTGTGTGTGAAGACAAAGAAATAAACTTCAATGGAATAAAGTTGAATGGAATTGAATTGAATTAAAGTTGAATAAACTTCAACTTTACTGTTCAGTGCACTGATGTCAGACTCATTTTGGATAATAAAGTGTATTGTTAAATGCCCTGCCTCCATTAAGTATCTTTGTCACGTCATAAGTGTTTGATCACCACATTTGAATGATCATTGCAAAAAATGTGTTTATGTATATATATATTCTGTTTATGTATATACTGTATTCTATATATAGTACCAGTCAAATGTTTGGACCCTCGAATGGGAAAGTATCTAAACTTTTGACTGGTACTGTACTATAATATACACAAAGAATATCGGCCGATATATCGATATCTGCCTTTTTTTACTCCCTAATATCGGTATTGGCCCCGAAAAACCCATATCGGTCGGGCTCTAGTTCTGATCTACTCATGTCAACAGGTCGCATTAATTAGCAGTTGTATTTTACCTGCGCGTGAGCCTCCTGCTGGCTGATGAAACTATCTGCAGAAAGTCTTAGTTTGGCCACACGCGTGTCCCAGATGTCCTTCACCAGGGTTCGAATCTCATCGGCTTTGGGGATGTTATCTGCAGAACTGCGCACAAAAAAAAAAAAACACTATTTCAATATTTCAAATCAGATGCATAAGTGTGCATGAATCATATAGTTAGTTTCAGGAGATTGACAAAAAAATATGAACGTCTGTTATAACGAGCCAGTTAGCTTTGTGTATTGTTGGAATGTTTCACCATGCTTTCAAAGAATATATATTCGATTCAAAATGCTGTATCGTATGTAATGCCATCAAGCAAACAAAAACACAATTAAAAAGCCACAAAACTCTGATTCTGATTGCATGAGGTCTTTTATCTGAACATGCTGAAGGTGATCTGGTACTTACTGGTTGAGTAATAATTTGGCTAGCTCCATGTAATAAGGACTCGGAATGGGAGTGAAAGTGTCTAGTTTTCTCTCCTGTTCACGGATCTCCTCTAGTTTGTCTGGAAACAAAAAGATCATCTGTGTTTAGAGATGATTTCAGGAAAGATGGTATCCCAACACAGATATGTGATTTAACTCACCGGTGTCCATCCACTCTGGAGGAACTATCCTGCATTTCTGTCTTTGTTTAAGATTGAGGGCCAACCACACAGGGACTTCCACTGGCAGACCCGGGTTAAACGGCCCCAGATCTCCCTAAAAGTTTGTTTATACACATCAAGTCATGTATCTGATGCAGTGATCAATGGATGTGACTTGGTGTATTAAACATTTTGCAATATTCTAATTAAGACATGGAACAAAAAAGCCTGGGTCGGGCTGTGGACAAAGTTTGTGTTTCAATAAATATTTGGATTAATCTATTTATAAGTATTGACTGATGTTTTGGGGAAACATACTACTTGCTCCGTTTCCTCATAAGATGTGTTTTTGCTTGCTGGAATTCAATGCGTCAACTGCGCCAGAGATTATCATGTTTAACATTTAATATGAGCTAAACATTAGCAACCCAGGGCCAGATAAAAAAAATCTGATTTGACAAAATAATCATATTTTAATCATACATGTAGAAGGATTAAAAACCGATATAAAGTTGGTTTGACGTTTGTCAGAGATTGAGCCTTGGAAATCTTCAATAGATCTTTAACGATATATCACAAGGACAATAAACATAATGTGTTATTATTGTTTTCAAATGTAGAAGAGAACAGGCAATGTGTTTTATTTGTTTTAATCTGCCTTAAGGTATTGTAACTGATAGACCTTATAATGTAATAGTGCAGGATAGGGACCGCCTGCAAAGTCCAAAACCAAGCGCAAAAAGTACAATTATTTCATCTAAATGCTTCACTTGTGAAATGTATAAAATATAAATATCATATATATTATGAGTCTTATTACTGGTTCATACAAGAACATTTAGATGTTGGTTTTATTCACAGAACTATAGCACAACAAAGGTTATTGAAATGGAACGATTGAGAAAAAGCTTGCAAAGCATTACAAAGATTGTGCAGTTTACCGCCCCCTAGAGGAAGATATTGCACTGGTTTTGACCAAGTTTGACATTCAGAAGTTGAAAAATTCATTTAGAATGCACACAGTTTGATATCTAAACTTCAAGGGGTGTGTCTTGTTACTTGTTCAAAGAACAATATTTAAGGCCATCTTTTACGATCATATGTAAATCAGGATGCACGCTATTGAATTAAAGTTGAATCTGTTAACACATTCATTTTTAAAACATACAGTATTCCATCTCAATTTAAAAAGGGTGTGTCTGGTTCACAGACAAACATTTAAAAGTTGGTTTTATTCACAAAATTATAACAGCACATGATATTGAAATGTCAACGAATACATCAATCAATGTAAAGTAAATACGCTCTTCTATCTTAACTTCAAAGGGTGTGTCTTATTAGTGGTTCCTAAACAAACATGTAGATGTCGGTTTTATTCAGAGAACTATAAGACAACACATGATATTAAAATGTGAACAAATACATCAATTAATTTCCTATAAATGTACTCAGTTTCTAAGTGTGTGTCTTGATACTTGTCCCTAAAAGAATATTTCATTGTTGATATTATTCACATAACTATAAGACGAAAAAACATACTGAAATGTAAAAATTGAGAAAAAGCTTATTAAGATGTGCAGTACACCGCCTCCTAGAGGAACACATTGCAGTTGCTTTGACTGAGTTTAAAATTCAGAAATGTGAATAAATTAATTTAAAATACAGTCTGACATTTCAACCTCAAAGGGTGTGTCTTGTTGCTGGTTCATACAACCACATTTCTATGTATCTTTTACATTCATAAGAAAAATTTGACACGCTATTGCATCAAATTCAAACCAATTAACATATGTGAAACATATCTTTCACATTAATCGTTTTATCCTTTACGTGTACTTTGTAGACGGTCCCTAGCTGGCCTAAGCGCTAGCACGCCGGTGTTAGAGACTTTATGCGTTTCAACATATAGACAGATATACACAAATAAACTGCGATGTGTGTTCAGTTCTACATTCTAATGCTTTTCAGATAAGCCATTTTGTATACAATTATACTCATCCACTACGAATGCATTGAAGTTTTTCGCGGCTAAATATCTGTCTAATATCCAACGTCAAACGTCGAACCAACTTTATATCGGTGGATTAAATACCTAGTTAGTTTGTTATGTTTGCAAGCAAACAAACAAAACGCATGACACACATTAATCACAATAATCACATTACTGATTAAAAACATACTCTAGCTGTCATATTTACTCACCCCAATCAAATAGATTTTGTCGAGACTGAAATTCGGGATGATTTTTACCATCTCTTTCTCTGCGAGAAACTCTACCTCCGCTGGATCCATTCTACTGTGTGGCAGTTTTCCCGCGTATCTCTCAGAAGTGTGTCTCTGACGTCAGGAGGCGATGGCTCCGCCTCCCTTAACTGTTATTGGTTTATGCAAAAACAGATTGACGCGTTTACAGCTTATTGGTGTAGAGAAGTACGCTTGTTCGGCATTGCTGGGAACGCCCACAAAAACGTCATAACCGTTTATGCCGTGGGAGAAAACAAACCGTTCGAATTAACGTGCGGAGACCTTGTTAGGCGCTTGATCTTTACTTTTTGTGATGATTTCGATTGATTTTTGCTTGGTGCAGTGCCGAAAAGTATCTGTGTGGCGTTCTGTACCTCTAATAAGTTAAAAAACCTGATCTGAAGATGTATATGATTAATAAACAGACGGACTACCGGAGGTAGCGCTGAGCCGATAGCACAGAAAGGCTACACTACTCACTCTGCAAATAAGTTAAAAAACCTGATCTGACGATGTATATGACTGATACACTGCAATGATCTGTCATTAGTCCCCGTCCCCCTGCACTGCAACCCAGTTCTGATGGGGCTTACAGTAACCCTCCTTCGCATCACAGTCAAATAAATCTCACTCCCTGATATTTTGTGATGTCATAATCTATTAAAACATTTATTTTAAAAATATAGAAATATTAATTTATGATTAAAAAATAATAATACATGTATTATTATTACATATAGTAATGGTATTACTATAGTAAGTATAGGAGGCTAACCATGTTTTTTTGGGGCGTTTTTATTACCAATTGTAGCCTATAACCAGTTTTACTACAAATACCATGGTTAAACTAGTGTAGCAAAACATGTTGTGTTTACCATGGTTTAACTATAGTAACCAATAACCATAGTTATTACAGCACTTTTCTGATTCTTGATTCCTGTTCATTTGCTGCAGAGCTTTTGTGGTGGAGCAGGACCTGCAAGGTAGAGTGACAGCAGCATTTGTAAAAAAATAAATAAAATAAAATAAAAAAGGAAAAACCTCAAACAAAAATATAAATAAAGATAATTTTGTTACTTCCAATACAGAAATCTAATGGCATTGTGCTGTTAGAAATGGTACAGTGCCATGGATGAGGCAATTGGGGGCAGACCCTCCATCACTCCACCTGCCCTTATTGCCTCGTCTGGCCCAGATGTTGCTGTGAGTTCTTCATCCTCAGTGAGTCCAGAGCCAGCAAGGGCTACAAGGAAAAGGCCAAAAAACCTGGAGGACATAATCGGAGAGATGGAGGAGAGGGAATCAGAAACTCTGCAGGATAATGGCCCTCCATGACACTGTTAATGCAAACTACCTTAAGTTTTGTATTAACTACACACAGTAAAAGAGCGACTGAAGGGGATTAGTGCACACAAACATAAATTCAGTCAGTATTTACTTGCCTCCATATTGTTTGATCCCGCTGTTTTTTTTTTTATCCCACCAAATAGAAATGGTAGTAAATGTATGCATTTTGTATTATAGTATCTTGAAGAAATAAAGAAATAAACGGCTTTAAGCATTTAACCAGAGACAATAAAAAAAGGCTTTACAAAAAGCAATTACGTTTATGCATTTGGCAGATGCTTATATCCAAAATGACTTGCAGTGCATTTATTACAGGGACAATGACCCTGGAGCAACCTGGAGTAAAGTGGCTTGCATAAAGGCACACTGGTGGTGATGGCTGCAGAGATCAACCAGCACCTTTCTGCTTACCAGGGCAGTAGTTGAGCCCACTACACCACAAAAGTAAAGCTTTAACAAAAATTAGCATGTAATTGTAAACATGTGAAATGAAGCTGTAAACAAACAGAATGCTGACATTAATTGTAAAACATTTTTAATCTTTTTAAAAAGTTTTATAGGTAACCAGTCTCTGAATAATCCCGTATGCAATGCAATCCATGACAGTTTCCGTTAGGATCTTTATGTTCTGAAGAATTTAAACCCAAAATAAACTTGTCATTATTTCTTTATTATATGCACCCTGAACAGCATTTTACTGAAAACCCCATTAATACTATATTTGTAGTTCCCACTTCTTTATAAAAAATTTTTTTAAAACGTATAGTTACCTACACAATCTATGATATCAATAAAAACATGTCGTCAGATTATATTTGTAAGGATCATTATTGCCGTTTCCATAGACATCAGCATGTATTTTACAAACTGTAAATGTATTGTTTTGCTAGTAACTTGTGTATTTAAATGAATGAAACCTAAAATAAGCATTATATGGTTGAAAACAATGAATATTTGTGATAATATGACAAGCGTTTAACGCATCCGATCTGGCTCTGCACCAGCAGAGTTAAATTCAGCAGTTGATGACGTGACGCACTGAAAGTTCTAATCACTCCGGTGTGATCATACGCTTCAGGGACCAGCCAAGACTATGATGTGTTCATTATTCATCTATTCAATTTTCACTGACAGCCCAAATTTAGCCTTGTTTTAGCCTAGATGCCTGGGCTGTGTTTAGACGGCTAGTAGACGTCTTTTAAACGCAAAATTGCTTGCTGCGCACTGAAAAAAATAACTATTAAGATTTACTTTAAAAAATTTTGGTAACAAATTGCACGAACACATTAAGTAAATTTTACTGCACTTTGTCTCCATGTTTTGGATTATTGATTAGAAGGTGCTCCTAAAATTTTGAACGTGCTCCTAAATTTTTTAAGTTAGGAGCACAAGTGCTCCTAAAAAGAAAAGTAAGCGTCGAGCCCTGTAATCGCACCCTAATTAAGTAAATATTACGTAATTATATTTAATTTAAAAGTATTTATTTAAAGTAATTAAGTAAAGTTTATTTATTATTTTATAGACAGGAACCTTGCATTTATAAAAAATATTAAGTAAATCCTACTATTTATTGAAGTAAATAAGTAGATTTTATTATGTTTTGATCAAGATGTCCCATTTACTTAGTTTTATGAATATATATTAATCCCGATGTAAACATTGCAATTTTTTTTTTGATTAATATAACCACATAAACTGTATTCATTTTGTCTCCATGGGTTCTCAACTCTGGCCCGCAAGGCCCACTTTCCTGCAGAGTTTAGCTCTAACCCTAATCAGACACACCTGAACAAGCTCATCAAGGTCTTCAAGATTACTAGAAAGTTACAGGTTGCTCTGTAGGGGCATACAGCGCCAGAGTTGAGAACCTCTGGTCTATACCTTTATCACAAATCACACAAGTAAAATACAATTAAACTCTTTATTTTCCCAACATTAATAAAAGTGAATCAGTCACATTCACATGACCTACTAAAGTCTGGACACAAGTGTTTAAAGGCGCAGTAAAGTCTCATAAAAAAGTGGCATTAATCAACAAAACATGTATACCTCCACTGGTGATATTTGGTCTATTGAAAATAGAAAGAAATAAATTATGACTGAATGCTACTTCAAGTGTCTGCTGTTCTGTAATACAATCCCAATCTCCATTACCAACATGAACTGCATTTGCTGCACCATACAGTTTTGACACCAGAATGTATCAAATATAGAAACAAAATACTTAGACCAAGATGAGGTTTTAACCTGACAGAGCTAGGTAGTATTGATATAACCAAAACTGCATCTAACATGAAAACCATCAGTCTGTCTTCCTCCCCTCACCTCAAGTGTCCACTGTATCGGCTCGTCTTCAGAGTTAGGTCACCCTGTAAATAAACAGACACAATTTGTGATATTAAAACAATGATCTAAAACATTTAACCACAATTTTATATTATGCAGTGAAGAATAGGTAAAAATGTTATATCATGCAAATCTATGCATAGATTTATACTTGCCTGAATATGAGAATTAGACCAATCACTCCTTCTGTATTCTCATCAATTTACACTCCAGCTTATTCTGCAGTGAATCCAAAGCCTTCCTGTTAATAGAAACATGTGTTCATAAGACTTTGCTTTTTAACCAACAGATTACAGATTGTTTGAGCAAAAGAAGAGATATAACTGACAAGACTGGACTGGAATTAACTATAAGTTGAATACCATCATAAAGAAGCGTAAAAACACTTTTACTAACACTTTCTATTCACACTTTTCAAAATTAGTCCTATAAAACACAATCGCTGGTGGCAACAGGTGCTTTAGGGTTAGGTAGTATGTTAGCTTAGCATAGCGACAAAACACGACAATCGGTCTTTTTCAGGTGACGCCACACTCACGATAATCGAAGTGCATTTTGGGTATCGCCGCCATTTGTAAGGTATCAAAGCCAGGTGTTCTGTAGTTGGAGCATTGTCTTTTTCATTTGATTTAAAATGGTACGTTCTTGTTGTGTTAAAGTTTGCAATAGTGAATTACATGATAGAAAAGGTCAAAAACTCACCACGAAGAAAGATATGTTAGGTCTCACACTTGAAAGAAAATGCTAAACAACAAGAGGCGTCGCCGCGTCAGATGGCCTGGGTTGCAGCGGTGATATGCACAATCATCATATTTGCCAACATATCTCCGGTTATGTTCGTTTACCCTCGACATTTTCATAACGGTAAGTAAGAATTTTTTCGATGTGCTTATTTTCTGAAGTAGCCAACATTATATTCACATGTTATTTAGGGTTAATGCTATTAAACGGACAACCAGGGAGCAGGTGAACAGATGCAATCGTTTTATGCATAGGTGTAAAGAGTTATTTTATTTTATTTCACTAACATTACTTAAATATAAAAAATATGGTTAAATATTGTTTTTGGGGGTTTGTACTTAAGTGTAATTTAAACTGAATACTTCAGTAAAATACATTTCTAATGTTTATCATTTTTATTTCGTACAATTTTAAAAAGTACTGACTATATTTTTGTACATTTTCATTTCATATAGTTGGGCTAGGTGTGACTAAACAGTAAGTGGGAGCAGTTGCAGCCAGCTGAGACTATGAGCCACCAGGCTGGAGGAGATGGTGGGCTTCACACCACACCACTCAGTGTCACTAACTGAATGTAACTCACTTGTGTGTGCGCAGAAGAAAACTGACTGCTGTGGCGTAAACTCTGGATGTCTGATAGTTTTTCAGTGATCTTAAAGTAAAGCATTATACAGGTATGCCAAACTTGGGAACCTTTATTACATGGGTTCTCAACTCTGGCCCTTGAAGTCCACTTTACTGCAGAGTTGAGATCCGACCCGAATAAAATACACCTGCACAGGCTTACCAAGATCTTCACGATTACTAGAAAGTTACAGGCAGGTGAGTTTGATAGAGGTTGGTGCTAAATTCTATAGGAAGTGGACTAGAGTTGAGAGTCCCTGCCATGAAGGTTTTTATTGCCTTGCTTTTCATGTCAGAAATAAGAAAAATTCTCACTTCATTTTAAATACTTATGTTAACCTTATGCACCTCAGAATGGATCTGCCTGCACAAACACCGTTTTAGACAACTGTGACAGGCACAATGATGCCCCACAGAATAGCAATGATAGACTGTTTTGAGATTTCCACAGAGAAACCATTCAGTGTGAAAGTGTGTCAAAATGTCTTCTACCTAGAAGCACTATATAGTATTTGACAGATCGTCTAGCACTTCTAAGAATCCATGCAGAAAGGGTCATCAGTAATGTTTGGCAGAAGCATCAAATCATCATATTATTATTATTATTAGTTTATTCAGCTTTCTTTGTAGTACTTGCACTGTGTCCACTTAAGAAAACAGTGTGTTGATGATTCATCATGCTTGTCACATCTGTGTTGCATTAATAATAAAGTGTGTATAATGCCATTTTCATGTGTTTTTGATTGTCTCCTTGTGCCGGTGGCACAACTTTTTGCGGCCGGTAACGTTAGTATGGATCAGTGTTAATTGTTAATGATCATCATTGACAAATTACATAAATTACGGTTCCTAAAAAAATTGCTGAGATTATCTCGGTACCGTATCTACTTGGTTTGCATCTGTTTCTCCAGTATGACGATTTAACCGGTCTTTACTGCACTGCTCAATGCACCGATACCTTCTAAATGGCGCCTCGGTGACGTCACACAAAATAAACGCACGTGACTGACAAAGACCGATTAATGAGGATTACTACAACGTCACTGCTCTAAACTCTCCCGATTACGTCAGACGAGTGTTTGAAAGAGCAGAAACTAGCATTATGCTAAACTATGCAATTGTTTTATTTAGTAACGATGTTAGCTAGCTAGCAGTTACAGTAATTTCCAATTGTGCTCAAGTTTTTACGTGAAAAACAGCTTTGTGAATCTCTGAACTATTGAAAACATTTTCGCTGAAATACCACTCACTGTAAACGCACGCAAGTTACCGTTAATGAGGTTATGTGATTAATATGAACGATAGTGTACAGTATAATGAGTCAAGCAAACACGAATCAAACTATCGAAATGCACACGGACCAAAGTATTACAAATCAGAAATCTAAAACAGAAAGGCAAACTTACCTTAAACACGAGAAAATCCAGCCATGCATCTCCTCCGTGACAAGCCCAACCGTCCCTCTGATTCAAAGCGTGGGTCCAAACACGCATGCGCGGATTCAAGCGCGATGAACTTTTAGATAAAAATGTACTTAATATTTCTAGATTTATGTCCAATGACTATAAAACAGATAACTATTACAAGTAAATATTAATAAGAGTTACTCTTCTCACGCAGTTCCTTAATTACATGAATTAAATGTGTACATTTTACTTAGAAAATTGTTGTTCTTCTTGATTTTTAATATTACAAGTAGAACAAATCAGAACGCATCAACACAATATGACCTTGGATCACTGTTAGGATCAAAGAGCGTCAAAACGGCATTAATTGTTTGAATTTCCTGAAAAAAGGACATAATTTGAAAGATGAAACTTTGTTTATTATTAAAAGTAACAATATATAAAACTGGAAGTTTCTAATGAAGTTCTGCTCGTCCAGTGGTTAAAACAATGCTGTATTTGCTCGGTATATGCATACCGAACCGAAAGACCCGTACCTAAAATTTTCGATACGAATAGGTGTACAGTTACACCCCTAGGATCGGTTTAAATTATTAAGTTTTGCTATGTACAGGTCTATGTCTTTTGAATTAAAGTGCGCAGTGAGCTGTTGCCTTGAAACTCATGCTGGCGTTATTCATTTCATATGGTGGCAGAAATGGGTCACGTGACGTCAGGAGCTATATACAATCTCCTGTCGGCCTTGCTCGATACTAAAAAAAGAGCGCTTTCCGTGTGCACGATTCGAGACGAAAGCTACTTTGCGCTTTGTATGTCAAAATGTCCGTCTTGGTGAGTTTACACTAAACACAGTCAGTTATGTTTTAAGTGAAAATAAACAGTTAGAAAAGTAATCGAATGCTAGTCAGTATCTGTGCATTCCCTGACAGCATACTGTATAAACCTGCTGCTGTCTGTCATCATGTTAATCAAACAAAATGAGAGAATTATTCACTGCTTACACATTTTAGGTACTATAATCGGACTACTTTTTCATGACTTTTAGATACTTTATGACCTAACTCGTTTATCACGTAGTAGATTTGAATAGAATTGTTCCTTACCATATTGACTGAAAAATATAAACAGAAAGAAAATACATTCCATTCTTTGTTATTAACAACTTTTAACATCATATTACATCAGGGTTTTCCAAACTGGGTGTTGTGAAGGAACTGCAGGGGGTTCGCGAGTTGATGAAAAGCTAATAATTAGGTTAATCATAAAACTGTTAAAATAATAATAAAAAAAAGAAAAAAGAAAATAAAAACAATCAAAATAAGATACTTGACCACTAAAAAGATGAAATTTTATTTAACTTGTGTCATATGACCATCATAGAACTGTGAACATGCAAACGTGTTAAATTATTGAGATATTAACTTAAAATGTCAAGGTTACTCAAAGTAACTATTTTAAGTGAAAGGGGTTTCAGATTTTAAATAATTTTTGTCCAGATTTCTAAAATCAATAAATGAAGGTCACTCAATATGATAAAGACATAGTATTTCACAGCTATCCGACTATGAGTTATGTAACAATGTAATTACAAGTACTTAATTTTTGGAATCTGATTACGTAATCCACATGACGTGATCAGTTAATACTCAGCTCTGCTTATGTTCATGCAGGTAGTTCATAAACTTAACTGTTAAACTTAGGCAAACTTCCTCATACACAAAGTGTAATGATATGTTTAGCTGTTATTTTAAACCATAAAATATGTTGCTTAAAAAAAAAGCTTGCATGCCATCTTTCTTCAAAACAAACGAAAATGCAATGCAATTTATGATTTTTAAGCATTGCATGGCTGTCCAAATACTTTTGGGGCCACCATATACTGCTTTAATATATTGTTTCCCTATATGATGGAGTGTTTCAATTATATTTTGCTACTGCACTACAGCCAGCTGAACTCTCTGAAAAATTTGCTTAAAATCATTTGGAAAAGCAAGAATGTTTTTTTTTTTTAATTAATTTTTATAAAACTCTACAATCATAAAGGCCTCATACCTAAAGTCTAGTCCTTTACTTACCGAAAAATCTGAGCCAAAAATATTTATTCTTCCACCACTAGCAAATTATTATTGGTCTGCTGCAAACATAAAAGCAACCTCTTTTTTTATAAATCAAAATATTAATTTCTAAACTGAAGATATTTTCATTTGAGCAATTTAAGTAGTTAAGAAAAGTAAATAACCATACCTGTAATTGAAACTAAAGATTCTTACCAAAAAAGGGGGGGGGGGAAATCATCATATTTATCAATTAGTTAAGTTAAATAAAACTAGTCCGATAGCATTCAAAATTGTACAATTGAGTCTTATACAAACTATCGCATGAAAATGGGTATAAAACCTATTTGACATCGGATTCCTTGAGTCACCTCAGTGTTTTCAAACATGACGATGCAGCACTTACAATGTTCCATTTCCGTTCTTAAATCTTTCTTCTCAGTGAGAGAGCATGTCACTAACAGTACTGATTATCCAGCCATAGCCAGATATGCTTCCCATTTAAGCACTGGTGGTTTGGTTAGGTGGACAGGATCTCTGAATGGCTTCAGCATAGATGTAAGACAGATTTATTGATCTCAGGGTTGGTCCAGTCATTTCGTAAGTCATCCAGATGGTTGTCAAAGTCTACGAGACTCTCGTATGATTTGCTTTCTAAAAGAGCTGCTGTGATCTTCTGTGCCTCTATCCAATCCTCAAAGCAGTCACTGCAATTTAAAGAAAGTTAGACAAAACATTAAACTTCTGTTTTTAAGCTTTTCTGCCTTTTAACAGTCTCATTATGTGACAATGACATTAGACCTCCATTGTTACGTAATTATTTTATGAGTTCATATACAGTATGGCAGTAATGAAAGGTCAAGACTGGGTCACCCACTCATAGTACATGGACTACTTTTTTTGTGTGTGTGTGTGTGTTTTCCATCTAAAGAAAGGAATTTATATACATTTTTGGGTGGAGTATCCCTTTAACCAATAATATTAGACATGAACAAATAAAAGCGTTTTAATTTATGAGGCTTCAGTGCTCAGCTAAACAATACATTTGATGTTGGTAGTGCAGAATGTCAGTGTAAACAGAATGGGTCATGTGACGTCCGGAGCTCTATAGTCACTTTGTGATGTGCTGGAAGAAATTTGACTGGTGCAGAATTTTGCCCCCTTAGAGCAGTCCAATTAAGAATATCTGTGTTAGACTAAACAAGTCCCACACTGGTTGAAAAATCCTATATTTGAGCAGATTTTGCAATTAATTTTGAGCCGTCTTGTTATTTGGTGTGCGATTTAGTCTGGCAGCGTGAGAAAATGAGACGGTGGTTCTCATTTCACTGCCCATGACTTATTGCAGACCCCCCTCCCCTACCCCCAAATAGCCAAAATGAGACAAGTTTGCATCCCTGTTTGACGTTTTTACTCATTTCAAAGCTGCTTGACAAACAAAACAATGCGTACTAATTTTGTTCTTAAAACTGCATGCTTTAAAGGGGTCATATAACGTTGCTAAAAAGAACATTATTTGGTGTAATGCAATGCATTTATGCGGTTTAAGGTAAAAAAAAAACACTTTCCACATACTGTACATTATTGTTGCTTCTCTATGCCCCGCCTTTCTGAAACGCTTCGATTTTTACAAAGCTCATCGATCTGAAAAGCGAGGTGTGCCCTGATTGGCCAGCTATCCAGTGCGTTGTGATTGGCCGAATACCTCAAGCGTGTGACAGAAATGTTACGCCCCTTACCATACTGTGATACCTTGTCCTGGTGCGACGAGACGAAACCAATAAAACCCATTACAAACGAGGCATTTGTTGTATCCAGTGGGGACATAATTACTGATTATAATGACATATACACTGTCATTTTACGCGTTGTTGCATCTCGCCGTGTAAACGTAAAACCATGTCTGCATTTGTGATCGGAGAAATGACAAACAACAAGCGCTACTCTACACTGCCCAAAACTCGCGTTTGAATCGGCAGTGGCAAATCCTTTAAATATGAAAACGTACTTACAGACTGAGTCAGAACAGCCGGCATTATAGTCTACTCTCCCAGGATCAGGAAACAGTCCTTCATAAAATGCGCTGCACACATCTGAATATTTGGGTTGAACTGTTCTGGAACAGTGTTGTAAATACAACTTAACCACTGATTTCTAGTCGTGACCTCTTTTGGAAGGCCAAATAAAGTGGTTTCGCTTTCACAACGAAACACAGCGTCTCCATGACGATGTGGTGGCAACAATACTACAGTGAGAATCAAAGTTACGCCTTCTTTCTTTGCGTGAACATTTGGGCGGTGTTATGCAAATCTTACCACATCGTGACAGACATGTGGGGGCGTGTTTAAATGAGGCGTTTTAGGAGGGCGTGGACAAGTCTTAACTTTTATAAAGAATATCTCTTTGGGTTTGAGACTTTCGTTTTTGCAAATGTAGGGATCTTATCTATTCACGGACAGCTTGTAACACTCCAAAGTAGGGATGTCAACGATTAATCGATGATCGATTAATTGTCGATAAGAGATGCAATCGATTAAAGCTATAGATGTTCGATTAAGTCGTTTAATTTTGGGCTGCGTGCAGCTCATGCGCAAAACAGGTGCGAGCGGCTGTGAGTGACGGTATATAAATGCGTCATCATTCACTCATAATTACAAATTAAGCTTTTAATGTGATTTAAACTTTAAAAGTACATTAAAATAGAAACAACACAAAGTTCTTCAACATGGAAAGCAATACAAATGTAGTAACTAAGTCATTTCCCCAGATAATTCTTTCATATCGGGCTCTGCGCTTTGTTAAATTTATTTAATACACGAGTTTCACAATTTGAGTTGAATTACTGAAATAAATGAACTTTTCCACGACATTCTAATTTGAGATGCACCTGTATATGCGAATGCGTGTAAAGTACAAGCCTAGTTTACATTATAAATAATAGTTTAACATTCAAATACATTACGAATATGGAAACATTTGGATTTGTGCCGAATGAGATGTGAGGAATAACCTCCAAATACATCTAGCCAAACCCGCATCTCCTATGCATGCACTGTCACGATCTAATGCACTGTAAATGCCGGATTTTTAAAAACAAATAGGCCTACCGCAATGCCAAAATTTTAAATCTGACATTTTCCGGAACAGGATCCAGCAGGATCAAATTAAGTACTGGTCATAATACTCACATAAAAATGTTTGATGTTAGCAACAGTGCCGATGGAAGCGGTTCACTGACTGCGCAGCACATCCACATGCGCCACAGTTATGTTTGGGATAATATTATTTTTAATGCCATAACGTCAGTTGAAAACATTGCAATTGTGTTTTAAAATACAACAACGAGCACCACGAAACCATTTAAAGAGGCGCGTTCAGCGGTCTCCATGTCGGGATAGGAAACATTCAACAAAGTAAAATGATCTCAAACGAGCTCTCTTCATTTTATCAAATGATCATAATCACATCTATTCATTTTACAATCCTGCTACTAGCATTTTATTCAGACTAAATGCCCTTTAAATCAGTTGAGAAAGCGGGTTGTTTTTTTTTTTTTTGAGTAACTTTTGCACATCCTGTTTTGCCGGGCTGCATAGACGCATTTTGCAGCATCAAGGTTAACGATTAATCGATTAATTGATCGTTAATTTAAACGACGATCGATCATGGAAATTATCGAAAATTGACATCCCTACTCCAAAGTGAAAGGAAAACTTGAAATTGCACCCCTTTAAGTGTATGGAAATGATCCGCGTAAACGCAACGCAAGTAACTGATGACATAATACAAATAAATTTTTGGGTGAAATATGATCGTAACATTACAAAATGAACTCTACTTACGTGCTTGGCTCTCTGCACTTCCACTTGTTATCATGATGATCATAGATGAAGAGAACAGGCACAAAACACTCCATTGTGAATCTGCTGTTGTCCAACTAATGGTGACAAACAATGCAGTTTTACTGTGTAGCTATATGTGTGATAGGGCTGTAATATTGCTAATTTAAAAAAAAACAATGTAATATGTAAATTACCATGATCATTGCAGCCTCACTGAAGTTTTCTGAGATTCTGGCAGCGACCTTCTCAGCCACCTGGTTTGGTCTGAAAAGTTGGAAAGATCACAACATTCCACAATCCACATACACCACATACATATCATGCAAAGCACATGAAGCCCAAATTTTACCTGGCTTCCTTTATACGCTCATTTGCTTGATAATAGCCAGCAATAACATACTTGTTCTCTTTGCACCATGTATCAATCTGAGGAAAGAAAGACATTACATCTATAAGTGCACCAAAGTATTGGGTTCACAAATCATTTTTTCATCTGAGATTCACACAGTATACTGATTACAGGGATAGTTCTCTTGTCCTACTAAAAAGATCAATGGTTTATGCTGAACTAGCTGATGGACTGACATAATGCTATGCCCCAGTAAAACTTCAAGGTAGGATTGTGATCGTTTTGCCAGTTAACATGGTGGGGCCTCAGTTCCCCAACACAACATTTGATTGTGACAAGCTATTTGGTCTGAGCTAGTGATCTGAAAGTTGCAGGCTAAAATCACACAAACAGTGAACCATGATAAATCACCAATTGGCTTTGGTCAAGACACTGGGATAATGGAACAAATTGAACCCCAATCTGAACCAAAGTGAATGAGAAAAAGTGTAACTTTACCAGTCACCCCTGGAAAATGTTACTTTTCAAATCTCTATTTCATAAGAACAAACTGGTCAACAATGTTCCAAGAAAGACTGAATCATCTAACAAGCATGTACACTGAAATTGACACAGGCTACTTTTGGAAGTTGACTAGTGGTTAAACGGATCGTAGTTGCTCCGTGATCTGTACGGACCAAGCCCCACGGTTCGGCACGCATGTGATCCGCGGATTAATAGCAAAATTGAACCATAATAGAGTATACATTTCTAATTTGTTCGTATTTTCACAAGCAAGCGAATTTTAAACAATTTCAGAGAGGAAAGGCGAAAGGGAACTCGATTCGTTACTCGCGCGCTGTTCTCTACGCGCACAGCCGCACACACATGAAGCACGCAAACGCGTTCCAGATGGCGCGCGAACACCGAACTGAATCCTCTGAACAGACACATAAAATTGACAAAATACACATCTCGACAATCATTAAGGTAAACGCAGTCAGTTATGTCTCAAGTGAAAGAAAACAGCGGAGAAAGAAATCGGATGTGATGTGTATCATTATATCGGATCCGTGCATCGGGTCTTAAAGGGACAGCGGCCAATAAATACTGCTGCTGTCATTAATGATCATCAAACATCAAAACAGCCGTGATAAAAAAAATCTATATTTAATTTATACAGTGAACACTATACAGTGTTATTTTCCCTAATTATTACATTTCTGTATTTGAATACTACCAACCTTATTTTATTTGTAACATATTGTGTTGTATTTATCTATGCTTGTAATTTGTGTAGCCTATTTGTTCTTATTTTTACTGGCTGTTCTCTTGTCTCTTTAATCATGTTTAAACTTTCTTAGCTAATCTAGTAGTATTTGCTGTGGTATCAAAGAAGTACTTCGCTTTAAGCAATAAATGGAAAGCAAGTTAAATTGAAAAATTTTTATTTTCTTGCTGATCCGAAAAATGATCCGATCCGTGGGTCAAAACCCGTGATGTGATCCGAACCGTGAGATTTGTGATCCGTTAAACCACTAGTGTGGCCACTAGTGACACTATACTGTCAAAAAGCACCGTCTCTCGGATGAGACGTTAAACCTGACTCTCTGTGGTCATTAAAAATCCCAGGGCACTTCTCTTAAAGGGTAGGGGTGTAACCTGGCCAAATTGCCCCCCTGGCCTTTGTCAATCATGGCCTCCTAATAATCCCCATCCACTTGATTGGCTCTATGACTCTCTCTCCTCTCCACCTGTAGCTGGTGTGTGGTGAGCGCACTGGCGCCGCTGTCCGGTGGCTGCCGTCCCATCATCCAGGTGGATGCTGCACACTGGTGGTGGTTGAAGAGAGACCCCCCACATGATTGTAAAGCGCTTTGGGTGTACAACAATACACAATATCTCAACTGCTTGATTGTTTATACCGTTAAATGTTTAATCTGCTTTAATCTCGGGGAAGTCGTGGCCTAATGGTTAGCGAGTCGGACTCGTAACCCAAAGGTTCGAGTCTCGTCCCGGGTCCGGCAGGGATTGTAGGTGGGGGGAGTGAATGTACAGCGACTCACGACTGAGGTGCCCTTGAGCAAGGCACCGAACCGCAGCTTAAATGGCTGCCCACTGCTCCGGGTGTGTGTGTGCACTTAGAATGGGTTAAATGCAGAGCACTAATTCCGAGTATGGCCACATGTCACTTCACTCACTTAAATGGGGCTATAATGCATTTTAAACCTATTTATATATCATATATACGTTATAAAGATTAACAACATGATTTTCTATTAATCTGCTTTGAAATTTATGGGTAGCCTATTGCAAAATAATAATGACTTTTTACGTGATTTCAAGTGAACCATTTGTGAGTATTTTGTGTATTAATTAATTATTCAGACCGAACTGTAATCCGGTTTAACATATTCATTGAAAAGAAACGACTACACATAATTATCTACATTAATCACTTTTCCAGCCCTGGAAAACTCAATATTATTACTACATTGTGAACGTGGTAGCCCAGAATCCATCTCCACAACTAAAATGATATGAATCGTCTTACCAATGTGAGTGCCACCTCCAGCATGGGGGCTAACGCCAAAGCCCCATGGAACAGAGGTACACAATCCACGCACAACACTGAGTCTCTTGGGCTGTCCTTCTTTTTGTGTTTCTCAGCCACCAGCAGCCCGTTAACGGCGCAGTGAGGGTATTTAGCAGCATGTAGCAGCATCTTACAGTACGCTTGAGTGGTCAGTTTTAAGGACATGTTTACAGATCTTACTGTGATCAAACCCCCTGTTCCGTGAGAGTGTCTTGATGTCGTGATATTTTGGAATGAATCACTGTCTCAAAATTATGACATCTGATTAGAGTCCCTCGAACACGTTATTCGCTCATTACTACACGTCAACCATTACCTCCATTCTGGATCTAACATGCACAGCTGACCCTGAACCGGCTGGTGTTTCCTGTATGTTCTTCTTCGGTTTTATGGCGGGTAGCACCAATGTTAAGGTGCATTATCGCCACCTACTGTATTGGAGTGTGGACCAGCGTTTACCCTTTCATACCGAGAGTTTCCTGTATGTTCCTGCACAACCCCAAGAGTGTCTGGCTGCGTCCGAAACAGCCTACTCAATGAGTTACTTACTTAACGAGCGCAAAAAGAGTAGGTACTCTACAGCCAAATCTCGTTAAGTATGAATGCGATCCTGGCATCATCCGCCATTTTGACTATCATGTGATCTACGACGTTATAACAAGCGCAACAGATACGAGCGACAGGTTTAATTGATCTCGCTGTAAATATTTTGATGTTTATGAAATTTCCTAATTTTGTGGTCTTGTTGAAGAAACAGCTGCCCTTTTATTGTGATTGTAGTATAACCAATACATTTTGGGTTGATTTAAATTGTTATATTTTTAACCCTACTAATATGACCCACAGTTTAATCCTTAAATATATTATTATTTATTACTAAAACCCAAAATCCTTATCTCTTGAATATGTCGTTACTTTATTTTATGTGCAAATCAGCGTTTGCAATATTTGTAATATCTGCACAAAGGAGACGTCGATCTCGCCTTTTGGAGAAGATTTTACACTCGAAAAATGTAAGTATTACTACTTAGGAGTTAAGATTACCCCAGAATACATTGCTAGCCCACCCCAACACTTATGAACAACAATAATGATAAATGCTGACCAATAATTAGCAAAATGTAATTTTTGTCATATGCCATAGCTATATGCATGACTACACACTAGAACGCAGCCAAGGCGAATACATCTAAATTTTCAGTCAAGTAATGAATTAATTATATTGTATTTACTGAAAACAGGAAACATGAATGAATTAGTAAAAATAAATAAAAGTAACCATGAAAATAAATAAATACAAGTCATCGACACATGAAACAAAGCTTTATTCAAACACTGTTCTAACAATCATGTATTTACAGACGGTGAGCCCACATCTACTGCATCTCAACACAGCTGTGCCAGTTCTGCAACTTTATTGTGATGAAGCAGCTGACCACTGTGTCCACCTTCACCTGTCTCTGCCGTCCATCACGACCCTCACTGCTGCAGTCAGACTGAATCTGATCATGGATGAGAAAGGGGCATCGAGGCTATTGTCTGAGTACACAGAGGGGATGAGGAAGACCATGATGATGCTCCTGATCCACACAACCCTGAATAAAAGAAGGGAAAGATGTGCGGGATAATCTGACTGTCACTCAGTCTGCTCCAAACATTTGTGTACTGCTCTCCATGAGCACGACTATCTGTAAAACATTTACACAGAGTAAAACATTTTACAATTAATGTTGTCAGCAATTCATTTCATATGTTTGAGGAGTGCTAGCACAAGGAGTGCTATAATGCATTGTGACAGACTTTGCCATTAATTTTCTCTAAAATTCTACAGTAAAATCACGTGAAAGTTGACACAGACAGAGTCTTGGGCATTCTGAAGAAGTATGAATAGAAATGTTCATGTTAACTCAGAAGGAATTTGAATAATGTCTGTATAAATGTCAAGTAATGGTCAGTGCTATAATGCATTGTGACAGACTTTGCCATTCATTTTCTCTAAAATTCTACAGTAAAATCTCGTGAAAGCTGACACAGACAGAGTCTTGGGCATTCTGAAGAAGTATGAATAGAAATGTTCATGTTAACGCTGAAGGAATTTGAATAATGCCTGTATAAATGTCAAGGAGTTCAATAATGCATTGTGACAGACTTTGCCATTCACTTTCTCTAAAATTATACAGTAAAATCTTGTGAAAGTTGACAGATAGAGAGATGGTCGTTCTGAAGAAGTATGAATATAAATTTTCATGTTAACTCTGAAGGAATTTGAATAATGCCTGTGTAAATGTCAAGGAATGGTCACTGCTACAATGCATTGTGACAGACTTTGCCATTAATTTTCTCTAAAATTATACAGTAGAATCTCGTGAAAGTTGACACAGATAGAGAGATGGTTGTTCTGAAAAAGAATTCATTGAAATTTTCATGTTATCTCTGAAGGAACTTGAATAATGCCTGTATAAATGTCAAGGAATGGTCAGGGCTATAATACATGGTGATAGACTTTGCCATTCATTTTCTCTAAAATTCTACAGTAAAATCTCGTGAAAGTTGACACAGACAGAATCTCGGCGTTCTGAAGAAGTATGAATAGAAATCTTCATGTTAACTCTGAAGGAATTTGAATAATGCCTGTGTAAATGTCAAG